TAAACATTAAAAGCAACAAATTTCCAGAACCCATGGTCAGCAGCATCCCCACGAAACTACTGCGGGTATTGACCACCCACCGGTCCCAGATGGACCCCAACATCAGTGAGCAGGCAAGGAAAGCCCCTACAACAAACATTACCATTAATTAGGAGACTCAAACAAAAGGGCTTTAAAATTAGTCACACAAGCTTTTCATACCTCATAACAATCAATACCACATCACACAACAAGCTTCAGTACCCCAAATCTTTGTAGGTTCTACATCTACATTTCTTTATATTATGTTGTACCTAATACATATACTCACCTAAACAGGTCTCAGAAGGCGAACATTTTATGTGCCCAAAATCTAAGACGGCTCTCTCTAATCTTTTCTGTCATAAAGTTACTACCAATTTTTTCACATATTGCCTTTTTACCATTCTGTCTCTAATATTTTAGTACAATAATTGTGATAGAAATATATTATATATATATAATATATTAACAAGGGGTGCCAATGTTGAACTTCGATATGACCAATAGGTAAAGCTAATAGATTAATGGGTCCAAATTATCAACATTTTAGTAAAACGGCCAATTGAGCTAAAATATGGAATCCTGACTTTGACTAATTGCAGAGAAATTTAATTGCTGGAAGTGTGAAGAAACTATCTTTGGTCATACTGTCAAAAAAAGGATTCATGAAAAGACTAAAAGAATTCAAAGCGTTAGTTGAGAAATATAAATGGACCGTAGAAGCATCAGCGAAGACTCTGCAAAAAATTAAAATAAAATTCAATACATGAAAACAAAAGTAAAATGTTGAAAATCAAAGTTCAAAAGTAAATTAATATATATCTTTGTTTAGCCGTTAACCGAATTTTGTATTAACAAGAACTCAAAGTTATTTAAATGTAAAAATAACAAATAAAAAAATACAAAAAAATATACGTTAACTTAAATGCAAATACTATGAGTTGGATCTTTTATGTTTTTAAATTTAGATTATTTTAATGATAAATTTCTTCTGGATGTGATTAAACACTGGAGTTTTTTCTTTTAATGATTATGTAGAATTTTTATGTAATGGGATGCTTGATTTGCTGGAAAAAAATTTTAGAGAAAATGAATGCGGTGTTAGAAGCGAGTATATTACATTTAAGATATTTTGAAATTGTTATATGTGGTAAAAAAATTACATGTGATTATATATTTTTTTATTTGACTTAAGTAAAAATCATTGCAATTGCAATGAAAATGTCAAATGATTGTACGGCAGTCGGTGATTGCACTAGCGCAGTCTATGATGAAACTTGGCGGCGATGGCCGTAGATATAAGACAATACCAATGAACATTAGTAACACAAAAGATTTGGTTGCATCTGAAACGAATTATAAATCAGTAAAAAATGAATAGGTTATTAAAAATTCAAACACCCCTAAAATTGTTTAGTATGCTTTGCAACCTTAGTGGTTCTTTCATCACATGATTAAATGTGGCTTTTTATTGTCTTTCTGGCAGATATTTTCTCCTCTCTCTATGTGATGGTTCAAGCATGACAACTGTGGGTCACGTTTCTGGCTTCCAACTTGATTTCAGGGCCTTATTTAACTTCTCCAATTTTGAGATTATCTTTCAACTTCAATTGCTTTGTATATATTTTGCTTATTGAGTATTTCAGCTTTTATTTTTTTCGGAATTTGTTCTTTATGCTATGATATATGTTCCCCTTTTTATATGGAATAAAATAATTGCCTTGTATAATATATTATATATATATATATATATATATATTAATATACTATATATATATATAGATAGTATAATTTTATGAAAATTGATGTATATTTATTAAATTAGGGAGTTAAAGAAATAATTTTGCATGAATTATTCATTAATATAAATTTGTTGTGTGATAGAGCTTAATAGATTTCTTGAAAATATAATATTTGCTCAATTCAACTAACTTGTAATTAAAAATCTTTTTTTTTTAGACAAGAACGATTGCTGAAAATTAATTTGAATTGAGCACATTTTGATTTTTCTTTTACGTTGTTGGATCATTCTATAAGAAATATTAAAAAAATAAGGGATTTTAACACACCTAACGACTTTAAACTATCTTATTTACTTAAATTCACACCCACTACCTATTTACACACGCACCATCATAAAAGGCTATCAATATTTATTTACACAATTCCGTTTCGCTCCGTCAAACGAAATCGCGAAACAGGTGTCCTGAGACCTTTTGCTTCATGGTAGCTCTTCTCCCTCGCTCAAATGAAATCGCGAAACAGGGTTCTGAGACGGTTTGCTTCGTCAGATCCCTCCCTCGCTCGATTAATTTGTTCGTTGGATCTTGCTGGTCGAGGTATGCTACATTTCATCTATGTTTTTTTTCTTTGACAAACGGTTTCAACGCCTCCTTTCCTCGTTTGGTTTTCCTTACTCTTTAAATAAACAAATTTTTTCGATAGATCGTTGTTCTTCTCCATGTTCTATTTCTAGGGTTGATGCACTGTAGCAATAATCTTGATTTAATTGTCACTAGCCTCATCGTGATATCAAAGTTATGTATTATTGCATTGGAACGAATAACTTGTTTGAAACTCGAACGAATCCTCCAAACCTTGACCTACAATAATAGTATTTTCCTCTAAATCTGGATTGGCAAAGGAATACCTTCAGACATTCCACCAACTATATATCATTGTTTGGTCATTATATTGCCACTTGTATCAACTGTTTTGTGACCATGCTGGCTATCACAGACAATACCTATATCTTTCTTCCAAGCTCTTTCACAACGACAACCACCTCCATTTTGTGGGAATCAGAAGAATATAGTAGCATATCCATAACATCTGTCTCACTTATAATGGACATGTAATTTTGTGTGGATGTTCCTGGATGTCGATAATGTTAGGTCGTAATCATGTGCCCTTAGCCACAGGCATAGTGCTTCAGTGTTGTTTTTTTCAGTAAAAACAAATTAACCATCACTTCTCAACAAACTTTAAAGTTTCTTGACCTACCACCAACATATTTTTGCCCTCGTCATGTCCCTCACACACTCGCAATATCCTCCAAATTTTGAATACAATATAAACAGAAATTGGTTGGAACCATATCTAGCAAAGAAGTTAGAATCAAAAAAAATTATTTCTGTCATAAATGCGCTGCTAACCTAATAAAAATCAACATATATCTAACAAAACCAGACAATATCGCAGCTTACCTAATAAAAAATTTTCTGTTCTAAGAGGCAGAACGAACGCGAGTCTTGACGGGGAAGCTTAGGAGAGCTTTTTCTGTTTTCAAAAAAATAACTTACCTAATTAAACATTTGTTCTAAGCAAGAACAGAACATAGCGGTCTTACCTATTAAAACATAAATCTATTACCTGAATCAATTTTTTCTTGTTCATAGGCGCAACAAATGCTTGGCAGACGGCAGGGATGCGAATCTGGAATGGAGTCTTGGCGGATGTACAAGAGCTAGACGGGGAGGACGGGAGCTCCGAGCTTTTTCTTCCGTAATTGAGATCAAGAAATGAAGAAGTAACTACATGCCGAGAGGAACAGAGTTTTCGCGCCCAAACAGCAACTCACGATAGGGTTTAACGGGAGGATAGACAGGTGTTTTTTTGGAAGGGAAAAGTTTTTTTAGTGGTGTGTGTTGTAAATAGGTAGTTTGGGCGGTGAGAATAAGTAAATAACATAGTTTTAAGCAATGCCTTTAAAACCGGATCGGTTGAACGGCTCCAAAGGCCAGTTCGTTCACCTGAAAACCGGCTTATCTTTCAAACCGGCCGGTTTTGTCCAAACCGCCGGTTCAACCGGTGAACCGAAAAAACGGTCACGGTTCTCTTGAACCGACCGGTTCAAGTTTTTATATTTTTTTAAATATTAAATTTTAAATAACTTATTTTTTAAAATATTAAAAAATATTTAAATTAAATTTCAAATTTGAAATGCTTACTTTAAATTAAAAATTCAAACAAGCATTTCAGAAGGAAAGTCTAAGTACTGACTTTTTGGCTCAAAAGCCAATTATATAGT